TATACATTATTGCACTGTGTGTAGATGATTGAGGAAAAATAAATACATTTAAATTACAACAACAAACTGCAACAACACAAACCTTGGACTAAAGGGCCCAGCATACTCCATCCAAACTCAGTCGATGCACAATCATGTGGTTGTGGGACATTAGTTTTCTCACACACCTTTCACCTCTCACAAGACCCGCAGTGCAGAGCTCTTAGGAAGCCCCGCCCCCTGCCGAACACTGCACAGGTTTCTTCCTGACAGTCTCCACTCCATCCCTGCAGCTGCCGTTTGGCCACAAATCTATCATGAAGAGAGCACCACACTTTTCAACAGACAGACTCCTATGTGCACAATGTGTGCAACATCGCCATCCGGGAGCTTTTGTTCATTTGACTAATTTAGTGCTTAAAGAGCCTTGTCTGAGCACATTTCCACATTGAAGGACACACCCACAAACTTCTGACCTATCACACAATCCTTAGCACATACGCTTGTGAGAAAAGTGTCAAGAAGGGGCGGCTCTGAGAAAAAAGGATGTGATTTTTGTCACACAACTACCTTAGTGAGTATGTTTTGCACTTTGGATAGAAATATGCAGGGCCCTTAACTTATTTAATATGTTCGTACCTTGTGCTTCATCAGGAAGGCTGACACTCTGAGACTGAAGGATCATGGGAAGCCCGTAGTCTGTGATTTTTAGAACAAAACGGCCATCAACTAAACAGTTTGTAGACTTCAAACGACCATGGGTCAAACCTCGCAGATGTAGATACTTCATGCCCTAAAACCCAGACAGAGACAAAATTAAATGTCACATCTGAACCATGACAAGAAACTGATCAAATGAAAAAAAAAAAAAAATTCAACAGGAATCCCTCGATGATCATTACAAAAAGGCACATAAGATTTGTGCCCATTTTGAAATTGCAGTGAAATTCTAAAAATGAACAGTTGTGGAAGTTAAACAAAAGGTTAAGGTTTCTTTATTTGTCATTCACACTACATGTAGTAGATGTGGTGGAATGAAATTGTGTACACAGGGTCCCAGTTACATCCAACAAAAGTATAAATTGTAAAGAAAAACAGCAGTAAGATATGAACTAAGAAATATGCTAAACTAAGCTAAATTAAGAATACACAAAATGTTCTGCTCTTAATGATTCATCAAAAAATGACTTCATCATCCTAGTGTTGGATCAGGACTGGTTTACTAATAATACTTCAGCTGCAACAAAAAAAGAAAAGTGGTTTATTCTCAGAAGAACCTTGATGAGGTCCATGAGCAGGGAGGACTTGAACATCCAGTCCAGCCTCACGTTACTGTCAGCGAGCAGATCTGCCAGACTTCCCCGAGGACAGTGTTCCACAACCAGGGCTAAGATGCCTGAGTCCACAAACAGACCCAGGTACAGGTTCAGGTTCTCATGACGCATCTCACGCAACTAGACAACAAACAGAAAATATTCCTGTTCAAATGATTGACTTTTACACGACTTTTACCTGTATCACACCATCAAACTAAAAACTAAAGGGACAACATTAGGACTACACAGAAAAAGAAAAAAAAACATTAAAACAATTAATTTTGGTCTCAGTACAAACCAAAAGTGTCTCCTTGGTGTTCAACGTGTGCCTGATGTGTCACAAACTGAGGGTTGTGTACTACAAAACAAGATTTTCTGCTGTGATGAGCTAAAATCAGAGTTTAACAAAAATATCCCTTTGAGCATAATTAGGTCTGCATGGTAATAGACTGAAATCAACACCTGCCCCAGAGTAGCCAATGAGTTTACAGTGTTTTTATTTTTATACATCCATAAACATAGAAGTGACAGGTGGGGCAGACAGTGTCAAAGCACACTTCAGCTTGCTGAAGTGGATGTGGATCAAACCCCTGATCCTCTTATATGAAGTTAACTTCCTATCAGACGATCAGGGGCTGTATATCAAACCCCCAACCATCTGATAGGAGATTAACCAACTATCAGACGGTCAGGTGTTGTGGATCAAATCCCCAACACTCTGATAGGAGCTTATCCACCTCTCAGAGTCAGAGATTCTTTATTGTCATTCATACCACATGTGGTGGAACGAAATTATGTCCACAGGGTCCCAGTTACATCCAACAATAAAATGTAAAAGAAAACAATGATAACATCTAAAATATGAACTAAGAAAAACAACAAAAAATACACTAAGCACTAATAGCATAAAAGCATTATGTCGAACAGCAGCACGAACATGAGCATGAGTCTTTATGAGCAGATGAGCGTGCATGACCACATCAACATGAAAGAGATCTGCAGTAACATTGAAACAGATCAGCAGCAACATGTGATTTTTCAAAGTGATTATCCTGGTTAGAGATTCATGAGTCTAACAGCCTCAGGGGAGAAGCTGTTCCTCAGTCTAGTGGTTCTACAGTTTAATGCTCCTTAACCTCCTTCCTGAGGGGAGCAGGGCAAAAAGTGTGTTTGCTGGATGAGTGGGGTCCTTGATGCAGGTGGCCATAATCCTGCATCTGGAGGTGTAGATGTCTGTGATGGTGGGGAGACTGACTCCAACAGTCTTCTGTGTAGCCTTCACCACTCTCTGCAAAGCTTTTCTTTCTGCAGCTGTGCAGCCTCCATGCCACACGTTGATGCTGGAGCACAGGATGCTCTACACTGCACACCTGTAGAAGGAGATGAGGACTGAGCTTTCCAGACCAACTTGTCTCAGCCACCTGAGGAAGTAGAGTCTCTGATTAGCTTTTTTTGATCAGACTGGTGGTGTTGTTGCCCCAGCTGAGGTTGTCTCCAGGTGCTCCACCTCCTGCCTGTAGCTGGACTAATCATTGTTTGTGATGCATCCCACCACTGCTGTATCATCTACAAACTTTACAATAGGACAGCCTGGATGGGTAGCTGCACAATCATACAATCAGAAAGTCAGGTGCTGTGGATGAAATCACTGGCTCTCTGGTAGGAGGTTAACCACATATCATATGGTATGGGGCTCTGGTAGAAGGTTAACTTCCTTTCAGATGGTCAGGGGCTGCAGATCAAACCTCTGACCCTCTGGTAGGAGGTTAACCTCCTATCAGATGTGGATCAAACCTTTGGCTCTCTGGCAAAAGGTTAACCACCTATCAGACGGTCAGGGGCTGTCGATCAAACCCCTGGCTCTCTGGTAGGAGGTTAACCTCCTATAAGATGGTCAGGGGCTCTGGTAGAAGGTTAACCTCCTATCAGATGGTCACGGGCTGCAGATCAAACTTCTGACCCTCTGGTAGGAGGTTAACCTCCTATCAGATGGTCAGGGGCAGTGGATCAAACCTCTGGCTCTCTGGTAGGAGGTTAACCACCTATCAGACAGTCAGGGACTGTGGATCAAACCCCTGGCTCTCTGGTAGGAGGTTAGCCTCCTATCAGATGGTCAGGGGCTGTGGATCAAACCCCTGGCTCTCTGGTAGGAGGTTAACCACTTATCATACGGTGAGGGGCTTTGGATGAAACCCCTAACTCTGATAGGAATTAACCACCTATTTTGCAGTGCCCAGCTACCACTTATGCTCCTCTATCCATTCATTTTCATTTTTCACGTTGGCTACAATCTGTTGTCCTTTGAGAAAAAAAACTCTTCTTCTCACTTCTTTTGCTTTATCTGTGTATTCTGACTGGAAAAAGCACTGAATATGTGGAATGCCCTTTTGTGTGTGTAACTAAAACAGAAAGTCTGAGTTAACCAAATAACACCAGACATTTGTAGATATATTTCTTAGTAGACAGTTAGGTTTTTTCAAGCCAGGCTAAGTGAAGAAAGTCTTGCTTTGTTCAACTCGCTTCATAGTTTATCTCTTTTGCCTACCGGTTGTGATCCTACTACTTGTACCTGGCTAAACAGATTCTGGGTGTTCTGATTGACAGCTGTCGTTGTCTTTCCAAAAGGTATTTTCTTCAGCCAAACCCAGTCACCCTGGAAACAACACAGGCAATAACAGTTAGTGTGATGGTCTGAATAAAAAGATACAGTTGCATATACAGTCAGAAAAAGTGCATCAAGGATATGAATACCAATAATTTGGGGATTCTATTGATTGGTTTATTACATTTTATTTATAGATCACCAATTTACAAAAGACACCTTCTCAGAGTACTATACAAACCTCCACACAGCTGCCTCAATTGGTTTGGGTAAGAAAGGACAGCCACAAAATGACTGGTCCATGTGCTGTTTCTTTGGGAAGAAAGAGGAAAAAACTTCCTCTTCTACCTCTTCCTCCTCCTCCTGATTTTTTGGCTGTTCCCACTTTAGGGGTTGCCATAGCAAGTCATCCTCCTCCATGTCAGTTTGTCCTCTGTCCTCACTCCAACTACCTTTTTTTTCATTCAACCTTTATTTAGACAGGTAAATCCCATTGAGCATTGGGGACTCATTTACAAGAGAGACCTGATTTCAACAAAGAATGATGTAAACAATGGACAACAGCGACAACAACAGACTGCCACAGAAAGGCATACAGATTTTTTTTTACAAATAAGATGGCAAAAAAAGTAACAAATAACAGCTAGATTACAAGGTGAATGTAGAAAACTAAAAACAGGAACATGTCTGCATTGGTCCCTGCCAGGAGTCGAGAGGTCAAGGTTGAGAGCTTCAGATATTTTTGTAAGATATTCCAGGAAGCAGGAGCGGAGTACGAGAAGGCCCTTTTGCCTTGTTCAGTCCTCACTGAGGGAACACTGCAGGTAATAATGACTTGAGAGTGCACACTGTAGCTGCACTCACGCAGAGACATGTAGGAGCAGATGTATGAAGGCAGCAGACCACAAAATGATTTAAAGATGAAAATGTACCAGTGAGAGAGTCTGCGTGAAGTTAATGATGTCCAGTTAACCAGTGAATACAGGGTGCAGTGATGGGTATGATAATTACAGCCAGTTATGAATTTTAGTGCACCATTATAATCAGCATCCAACATCTGCAGGGTGCATGTAGGAACGTTCTTGTAAATAATGTCACTGTAATCAATGGAGGGAAGGAAAGTTACAGATAAAAGACGTTTCCCAGCATTCAGAGTTAGACAGGATCTGTTTCTGAAGAAACCCAGTTTAACTTTCAGTTTCTTTACTAGGTTTTCCACATGGAGCTTAAAAGAGAGAAGCGAGTTAGCCAAGATACCCAAATATTTATAGGAATCAATAAACTCAATGGGGACACCATTTGAGGATAAAATCGGAGGAAGAACTGCTGGGACCAACTTCCTATTTGAAAAAAGCATCCCTTTGGTTTTGTCGGCATTTAGGACAAGTTTGAGGTGAAACAAATCAGTCTGGATGTTGTTGAATGCAGATTTCAAAAGCTGGAAAGCCTTAGCAGCAGTTTTAGCTCGACAATAAACAACTGTGTCGTCAGCATAGAAATGTATGGATGCATTAGGGATGTTTTTACCTACATTATTTATGTAGATTGTAAAGAGGGTGGGTCCTAAGACTGAGCCTTGTGGTACACCATTGTTGACTGTTAAATAACTGGAGGAAGTACCATTATGTTGAACACATTGCCTCCAGTCTGAAAGATAGTTAGAGAACCAACCAATGGTGTGTTCTGAGAAACCAATTTCTGAGAGTTTATGACACAAGATGTTATGATCCACAGTGTCAAAAGCTTTAGACAGGTCTAAGAAAAGTGCAGCACAATAATCCTTTGCATCCAGTGCTTCAACAACATCATTAAGAACCTTCAGTGAAGCAGTGGTTGTGCTGTGTTGTTTCCTGAAACCAGATTGATGTGGAGGTAAGATGTTAAATGAGTCCAGGTAATCTTTGATTTGAGAGTTTATCAGTTTTTCTAGAACCTTGGCTAAAATGCAGAGTTTAAAGATTGGTCGATAGTTGTTCAGTGAGGTGGGGTCTCCTCGCTTCAGCAAAGGAAGAACAAAGGCTGTTTTCCAAGTGTCTGGGATGGAGTTTTGTCTTATGGAGAGATTGAAGATGTGGGTCACAGGGACTGTGATGATATGAGCGGCCAGCCTTAAGAAATAAGGTGGAAGTTCATCTGGACCTGCAGATTTTTTAGGATCAAGATCTATTAACAGTTTATTGACCTCACTGACTGAGAATGGAGAAAAAGAGAATGTGTGATTAACTGAGGATTGACTTGTAGGAGGGATTTGATTTGTAGAAGTTTGGTTATTAAGTGAAGTGGCTGATTTTCCATTAGTAACTGTGTCAAATAAAGAACTAGAAGCAACAAAATGTTTGTTGAGACTGTTCAGGATCTCGTGCTTATTTGACACAGGAACAGAGTTAACGAGAAGTTGTGATGGGAGGTCAGATGATTGGGGGGTGCCTGAGAGAGATTTGATGGTTTTCCAGAATCTGTTAGGGTCATTTAGGTTTTTGGAGGTCTGAGATAAGAAATAGTTGTGTTTTGCTGCTTTAACAGTTATTCCTCATCTGTCAAAAACTCAACCAATCAGTGTCTGAGCCAGATTTTCTCGCTGCAGCCCAAAGATGTTCTCTCCTGTGCAGGAGGTCAGCTAGCTCTGGAGTAAACCAGGGGCTGTCTCGTCCCTTTATTCTGAACTGACGAAAAGGAGCATGTATGTTCAGGAAATAAATGAAATTATTATGGAAATAGTTCCAAGCAGAGTTCACGTCATCAGTTAACAGAATACGATGCCAGTCAAAGTGAGACAGATCCCAGAGGAATGACTGTTCACAAAAACGTTGCAAATCCCTTTTTTGAATTAATCTGGGCTTAGAAGGTGGAAGTTTACTATTTCTTAAAGCCGCTGTCACACAATGATCACTCAAAAGATCAGCAAATACACCTGTACCAGGGAATTTGTGAGGCATTTTAGTTAGAAACAGGTCTAAGATGGAGGAATTTTCAGGGTGGCTTTTATTTAATCTAGTGGGGGAGTCGATCAGTTGGGTTAAATTAAAAGACAAGCAACATTCCTTGAATTTGTCACAGAGGGGGGTCGACTTACACCAATCAATGTTGAGGTCTCCAGCCAAAAAGATCTCTGTGAAGTTTAAATTACCAAGGAATTCCTTCATGGCATTTAATGCCTCAGGTGATGCTGAGGGTGGGCGGTAACAACCTACTACAGTAAAAATCTGGCCTCCATTCAAGGTGATGTTTACAGATAAGGCTTCAAACTGGTTTGGAATTGTTTTGGAAGTCACAAGACTAGAAACCAGAGAATCTCTAATGTAAATAATGACTCCACCCCCCCTTTTTTGACGATCACAGCGGTAGATGTTAAATCCATTGATTGCCACGTCATTATTCATTACAGATTTGTTGAGCCAGGATTCAGAAATAAAGATAACATCTGCCCCAGAAGAACTGACCAGGATTTTCACAGCATCAAGTTTTTTCAGAAGGCTACGAGCATTTACATGCAGAAAATGAAGCCCAGAGGCATTTTTAAAGTCATTTGGTGTGCTGTAATTAGTGGGGGGTCCAGGGTTGGGCTGAATCCCTGAGAGCAGTAACAACATTATTATCAGACATTTTCTTGAGTTTTTTGTGACTGATGTGTAATTACAGGAGTTAACAATGTGACAATTAGCCCCCATAATCGAACCATGAGAAACATTAATGAAGACGCGATCATTCAGAACCCAAAAACAGTGAAAGTTGCAGTGATGGACAGATTCAGGTGTATTAACAAGATTCAGTGACTCCAGATAATCTGAGAACTGAAAATAGTGACAATAATATGAATGATGCAGAAAAGTTTCAGACCATAAAACGTCACAGTTCAAATAGGCAAACAAACCCGACGAGTTGGCCCAACTGCAGTTTGAGTTGGGCTGAGGGGGGCTCCGGCCCCCCAGTGAAGAAGGATGGATGGATGGATGCTCCCATTAGAAACAGATGCTGGGTCCAGAATCAACAGGCCGAAACAGAAACAGATAATTCGCAGCAAATAGCAGAGCGAGCTGCCAAAAAATCCTCCTGACGAGAAAGACATGATCCAAGCTCGTTTCAGGTCAACAGGGGCCAACAGCGTGATCCGGAATAAAATTAATTATTATCCAGGTGAGTTTGGATGGAGGCCTGCAGCAACTCCGATACAAACTCCGAACTTCTCTTGAGCACCACGCAGATCTTCTCCTTCACGCTGCTCCTCCGCTTCTCAGCACCCGAACAGCACGGGGCACCCCCGGTGAAAAGCGAGACTGACCGGAGAGGCTGAGGCTGAAGTCGGCAACTGGTCCGGTCCGGTTCTGCTCCAGTTCGGCTCCGGCGCTCCAAGCACGAGAGACGAAGAGGCTGAAGATATCCCTGGCCCGGTTCTGCTCCGGTCCGGCGGCCCAGTCTGGCAGCGCGGTTCTGCTCCGGTCCGGCGGCCCAGTCCGGCGGCGCGGTTCTGCTCCGGTCCGGAGGCGCTTCAAAGCACCGGAGCGTCTCCTCCAGGTGAACACAACGACTCCACGGAGGTGGATCGTCCTTCAGTAAAAAGTAACGGGCTGCTCACTGAAGCTGAGACCGGCTCTGTTGAAGACAAATTCCCCCACAGCCACCTCGGTTCGGTTCTGGTCCAATTCGAGGGACACAGGTACACTTCCCCCACACCTATGGAGACACCACGAGGGCCAGTCCAGCTGAAAACCAGCGAAATACCACCCGGCGATATTTGTCGGAACCAGGTAGAACCACAAAGGTCCAGATAAGAGTTCGTTGAGGTCCAGAGAGAGAGAGAAAAAACACCGGACCTTTGTGCGTCGACTCCCCAGATCGAGGGGTCACCTGGCCGGCAGGGTGCGCTCAGAGTGACCGATGGGGGGGGAGCGGCCGATCGGTCCTGGGTTAAAATATTTTTTGGACGGTCCCTTCCTGCTCTCTGAGTCACTGAACACCGAATTCGATTGGAAGGAGGACCAACTTTAGTCCGGTTTGAAAAACAGGTCAGTTTGATGATAAAAGACTGCAGAGAAGCCGGAGGGAGCTTCTGTCCATCAGCTCGCCGGAAGTGAACACAACGCCAGAACAACGTCATTAAGAACCTTCAGTGAAGCAGTCGTCGTTCTGTGTTGTTTCCTGAAAGTAGATTGATGGAGAGGTAAGATGTTAAATGAGTCCAGGTAATTTTTATGAGAGTTTATCAGTTTTTCTAGAACCTTGGCTAAAATGCAGAGTTTAGAGATTAGTTGATAGTTGTTCAGTGAGGTGGGCTCACCTCACTTCAGCAAAGGAAAAACAAAAGCTGTTTTCCAAGCATCTGGAATTGAGTTTTGGCTTATGGACAGGTTTAAGATGTGGGTCACAGGGACTGTGATATGAGCAGCGAGCCTTAGGAAATAAGGTGGAAGTTCATCTGGTCCTGCAGATTTTTTAGGATCAAGATCTTTTAACAGTTTATTTTTCAACCTTTATTTAGACAGGTAAATCCCATTGAGCCTCAAGGACTCATTTACAAGAGAGACCTGATTTCAACAAAGAATAATGACAACAATGGACAACAGCGACAACAATAAACAGTTGTAAAAAGTCATACTACAGTTTTTTTTAACAAATAGGATGGCTAAAAGACAAAGGTAACAAAAAACTACTAGATTACAAGGCGAATGTAGAAAACTAAAAACAGGAACATGTCTGCATTGGTCCCTGCCAGGAGTCCAACAGATTCTTAAAGCCACTTAGAGAGGTCAAGGTCGAGAGCTTCAATTGTTTTTGTAAAGTATTCCAGGAAACAGGAGTGGAGTAGGAGAAGGCCCTCTTGCCTAGTTGAGTTCTCATTGAGGGAACACTGCAGGTAATGATGTCCTGAGAGCGCATGCCGTAGCTGCACTCACGCAGAGACATGTAAGACATGTATTTACCTCACTGACTGAGAATGGAGAAAAAGAGAATGTGCGATTAACTGAGGATTGACTTGTAGGAGGGATCTGAATTGTAGAAGTTTGGTTATTAAGTGAAGTGGCTGATTTTCCATTAGTAACTGTGTCAAATAAAGAACTAGAAGCAACAAAATGTTTGTTGAAACAGTTAAGGATTTTGTGCTTATTTGACACAGGAACAGAGTTAACCAGAAGTTGTGATGGGAGGTCAGATGATTGAGGGCTGCCTGAGAGAGATTTGATGGTTTTCCAGAATCTGTTAGGATCATTTAGATTTTTGGAGGTCTGAGATAAATAGTTGCGTTTTGCTGCTTTGATGGCCATTGTGCATTTATTCCTCATCTGTTGAAAACTCAACCAATCAGTGTCTGAGCCAGATTTTTTCGCTGCGGCCCAAAGATGATATCTCCTGTGCAGGAGGTCAGCTAGCTCTGGAGTAAACCAGGGGCTGTCTCATCCATTTTTTCTGAACTGATGAAAAGGAGCATGTTTGGTCACAAAAGAAATGAAACTATTATGAAAATAGTTCCAAACAGAACAACAAAGTCCATGTCCATGCTGCTGTACATGTTTGGTTCTTTTGTACAGCACTTTGGTTGGCCTTGTTGCTGTTTTAAGTGCTATATAAATAAATTGGTATGGTATGGTATGGTATGGTATGTTCAATAATCCAGGTTTACAATCCAACATTTTTCAGTCAGGTCATCTGGACAGTTTCTTTTTTTGTGCTGAAATGTTTCGCCTTCGATCCGGAAGGCTTCATCAGTCAAGGAAACACACAACACAAAACTGATTCTTCTCCCAACAGCTTACTCCAAAGTGGAACAAACCAGTTTTGATGGTGCTAAGTTTGTCTCTTTGAAATGCCCCCTCCTCCATTACCAACCCTCTTCCTTGTTGACAGTCGTGTCAAACTGGTTGAAAACAACAAAGTCCATGCTCAATAATCCAGGTTTACAATCCAACATTTTTCAGTCAGGTCATCTGGAGTTTCAAGCAGAGTTCACGTCATCAATTAATAGAATACGATGCCAGTCAAAGTGGGATAGATCCCAGAGGAATGATTGTTCGCAAAAGCATTTCAGATCCCTTTATAGAATTAATCTGGGATAGGTGTTTGCATGCAGAAAATGAAGTCCTGACGTTTTTAAATTAATTTGGTGTGCTGTAATTATTAGTGTGGGTCCAGGGTTGGACTGAATCCCTGAGAGCAGTAACAACATTATTATCAGACTTTTTTTTGTTTTGTTTTGTGTGACTGATGTGTAATTACAGGAGTTAGTAGTGTGACAATTAGCCCCCATAACTGAACCATGAGAAAGATTAATGAAGACGCGATCATTCAGAACCCAAAAACAGTGAAAGTTGCAGTGATGGGCAGATCCAGGTGTATTAACAAGATTCAGTGACTCCAGATATTCTGAGATCTAAAAATAATGACAATATTATGACTGGTGCAGAAAAGTCTCAGACCATAAAGCGTCACAAATCAAATGGACAAACAAGTCTGACGAGGTGGCCCAACTACAGTTTGAGTTGGGCTGAGGGGGACTCCAACCCCCTGCCAAGATGGATGGATGCTCCCATGAGAAACAGAAGCTGGGTCCAGAATCAACAGGCAGAAACAGATAATTCACAGCAAATAGCAGAGCGAGCTGCCAGAAAATCCTCCTGAAATGAAAGGAATGGTCTTAGTTCATTTCTGGTCAACAGGGGACAACAGCGTGATCCAGAATAAAAATAATTATTATCCAGGTGAGTTTGGATGGAGGTCTGCAGCCACTCTAATGCAAACTCCGAACTTCTCTCGAGCACCACGCAGCGCTGCTCCTCCGCTTCTCTGCATGTCACCTCCGCACCCCACAGCATGAGAGTCACCTCTGGTGAAAAACAACAAGACTAACCGGAGAGGCTGAGGTTGAAGTCGTCACTGGTCCGGTCTGGTTCTGCTCCAGTCTGGCTCTGGTGCTCCACAGCACGAGAAACGAAGAGGCTGAAGTGGCTGAAGTCATCCCTGGCCTGGTTCTGCTCCGGTCCGGTTCCGACGGTGCTTCAAAGCATCAGAACGTCTCCTCCAGGCGAACACAGCGATTCCACTGAGGTGGAAAGTCCTTCATTTAAAGGTAACGGGTTGCTCACTGAAGCCGAGACCGGCTCTATTAAAGACGAAGTCCCCCACAGCCAACTCGGTCAGTTCTGGTCCAGTTCGGGGGACACGGGTACACTTCCCCCACACCAATGAAGACACCACGAGGGTCAGTCCAGCAGAAAACCAGCAAAAAAGCCAGCAAAATACCACCCAGCAGTTCTTGTCGGAACCAGGTAGAACCACAAAGGTCCATATGAGAAGTTCATTGGCGTCCGGAGAGAGAGAGAAAAAACACTGGACCTTTGTGCCACAACTCCCCAGCTCGAGGAGTTACCTGGCCAGCAGGGTGCGTTCAGAGTGACCGGTTGAGTGGGAGCGGCCGGTCCTGGACTGAAATAATTTTTTTGGGACGGTCCTGTCTGGCTCTCTGAGTCACTGAACACCGAATTCAGTTGGAAGGGGGACCAACTTTAGTCTGGTTCAAAAAAGGGTCAGTTTGATGATTAAAAAAACTGCAGAGAAGCCGGGGGGAGCTGTTGTCTCTCAGCTTGCCGGAACTAGAACTGTCCTCGCTAATGACATCCACATATCTTACACATGCAAATATAAGTAGAACATTCAAACTCTCTTCACTCTCATCAGACCTCTCACTGTCATATTTCTTCTTGGCTAACCTGTTTCTTTGAATGGCTTTCTGCACTTCTCAATTCCACCAACAGGTTTCCTTATCATCCATTCTCTGTCCAGATAACACATCAAGTATCTTCCTACCTGTCTCTCTAATTACTGTTGCTGTAGTAGCCCAGTCATTTAGAAACTCTTTCTTACCACCCAGAACCTTTAACAGCTTCTCTCTGAATTGCTCCAGATCCTAAACAACATGTCACGCCCCCTGCATGACACAGTGGACTCTTACCGCAGCACCTTCAATTGTGAACTGAGACCACCAAGGTGCTACACAGAATGCCACAGGAAGTTCTGTGGCTATTAAACTTTTTCAACTCCTCCCCCTTTCTGCAAATAGATAATAAAAATTAATCCTATACTACAATAAACACTTTGATGTTTATGTCTGCACCTGTTTAGAACTTGATTGTTGGCATTTTTATATTCTCTGTTATTTTTATATCTTATGATTCTTGTGTATGTTCCTTTGTACTGAAACTCTGGCACAATAATTTCCTGCAGGATCAAAAAAGTTCTACCTTATCTTATCTTATCTTATCTTATCTTATTCTTCCTTCTTCATCTTCATCTTCCACTATTTGGTCTTATTCTCTGATTTTACTATTTTTATCTTCTTCACAACAACAGTCATTCTACGCACAACCATCTGATGCTGTCTGGCCAAGTTCTCCCTTGCTACAACCTTACAGTCTCCAATCTTCCTCGGGTTTCCTCTTCTACACAGAATGTAGTCAACCTGCATACTCCTTCCTCCACTCTTATAGGTCACTCTATGTTCCTTTCTCTTTTGGAAATAAGTGTTGATTACAGCTACTACTTAGCAAGATCCACTACCATCAGCTGGCCTGGGGTCCCGGTTGCTCTGGGTTTGTTAATCTGGGTCCAGGACGCTCAAAGTGACCATACACAAGGGAATAAAGAATTTAAATGTCATAAAACTATAAAACAAAACTATAAGATGCATCAACAATTGTTACAGATTATCGAAATTGTTGAAATGATTGAGCTGTTGTTTTTACAGGAGGTAAAAGAATGGTTCAAATAAAAAACTGAAAGCCCAAATTTGATATGACGTTCATGTACACAAGCATGACAAATGTACAGATTGTTGAAATGTTTGAGCTGTTGTTTTTACAGGTGGTAAAATAATAGTTGAAATAAATAACTGAAAGTCCAAATTTAATATGACATTCATGCACACAAGCATGACAAGTGGATAGAAATTTCTAAACATAAAACTAGGCATGCTCATTCAAGTCAAGATATACCTCCAGGATCCCAATGTTGGAGCTCTCTGGTGTTGTAAGGATGTAACTTCGCGCAATTGAGCGAAGTGGAGTTTTAATTTCCAAAAGACTCCTCATGATTGACTCGTCATTAAGTTTCTGAAAAAGAAAATGAGAAATCAGACCACAACCTCGAGCTTTGAGCTCAAGAACATTAAAAATGAGAAAGAAAAGCAAAATAATTTTGAATAGAATAGAATAGAATTTAACTTTATTGTCATTGCACATGTCACAAGTACAAAGCAACAAAATGCAGTTTTCATCTATCCAGAAGTGCTTAACAAAAGAAAAAAAAATTGGTATATATATATATATATATATATACAGTAAGTTGCTTTGAATATACTACAAGTATAAATATATACAGGTTGTGAGTGTACATACTATGAACAGCTAATAAATATGAAGGGGTATAAACAAACTATATAAAAGAAAAAAATATATATATAAGTATGTGAGTACTTATGAACAGTAGGTAGTAGATTATGTGTACAGTTTGTAAAGTAGTGGGATAACAGATGAAAGTGCAGGTGGTGGTGTTACAGTCCAAGTGTTGTTGTTGTGTGTATGAAAATACAGACTGTGGTTCAAAAAAGTTCAATCTGGTCCTCTGGACATTCAAAAAAACAAAAAACAAAACAAAGCAAAAAAGTATAGAAACGTTTCGTCTCTCATCCAAGAGACTTCCTCAGTCTGAGGTGCTGTTTTCAGCTTAGTCTCTTAAATAGCACCTTCTCAGAGTGGATCAACCAGTTTGCTGCTGACAACCAAAACCAGCTGATCACATGCTCAAGAAAGACCATCAGCCTAACAATGGATCATTAGCACACTGATGGCTGTTTACTATTGTAGTATGACATATGCTGGATATATTCATACATTTTTCACGAGTTCTTCATCTTTCTGACTGTGTAAATGTCGTGTATCGAGTTTAACAGAAATGTAACGAGAGACGTTATTTATCTTTGACCCATCAAATGAATGCGGTCATTTATTTGCAGAATCAAAGTTTAACATCAAACATTTACATTAATTTGGCAAATTATGAAAACAATAACAATGGCAAGTTCACAGAAAGTGGACAATACGGCGATTGTCCTCACTTCTCAGCAGAATAACAGACATCAATCACACGGCGGTGATTGAGAACTTTGCTTCAGATATTTCTAAAATATCTGTAATGATTTTAGGAGAAAGGAGAGTTTAAGATGGAAAATGGAGATTTATCTTACAGAGAGATGTGTGAGGGAGTTTATCTGTAGGACCAGAACAACACGCTCTTTGGGGAATCAGCTTGGCCACGGTACACTTGGTCGAAATAGAACCTTCTACCTGGTTGATGATAAAATCAGCGTCGGCGTAGGGTTCCTTTCTGACTCTTTCAGCGTCTCCATGAGGACAGCCAAACCCTTAGAGAGTCGTGCGAGGTTATCCAAACAGAAGTTGTAACTCCCAAAATCCTCTCTGCATCCTGGTTTGTCAGAATTCTGAACTCCTTCAGAACTCTCTTCAGAGAGTTAAACTCTGGAACTCTTTAACTCTTAACTCTGGCGAGAACCGGGAAGTTGCCATATTTAAATGAGTTGACTTCCGGTTCATTTTAGAGCTTTCTGATTGGTGGATGGACCAGATCAGAGGTGTGGTTTGTGATGTAAGGTGTTATCAAAGTCAAGGGCAGAGAATGAGATTGTTTAAAAACAGACAGAAAGATTATTGGAGAAAACGAGACTTCGTGGAACCTCTACTCTGATTATCTGCTGTAAAGATTAAACATGACATTTCTTCTCAGTAAACATTTTAGTTGACCGAAGCCTGAACTTTAACATACTTACAAATTTGCTCATTGAAGACAGAAAAATCAAGAAATGCATATTACCCTGATTTCTTCTTTGAATGAGGAATAAAAATCATTACTTACTGTTTATGTAAATAAAATGAGTAGTTCTCTTCAACCTGTAAACATTGAGTGAACTAACACAATTTGATTATCAAACATTTGTAAAATAGTAATGATCATAGAGAATTGTCTTTTCTACTTGATTACTTCAAGAAAGAAAGTCTCCAGATGGCTCAAACTGTATTTCTGGATGCAGATCAATGAAATAACAGTCTCTGTCCATCTGGTCAGTTTTGACATGGGCCTAGTCCACTACACTATTCACAGAGGGCTGAGTGATACTAGCAATCACAGCATTGTAAGAGGGGGACAGTTGAACCCAGAGGCCTCCACCCCTGTTTATTTAAGAGACTGAGCTGAAAACAGCACCTTAGACTGAGGAAGTCTCTTGGATGAGAAACGAAACGTTTCTATACTTTTTTGCTTTGTTTTGTTTTTTGTTTTTTTGAATGTCCAGAGGACCAGATTGATTTTTTTTTAATTTTTCTACCTGGATTATTGCGCATGCATCAGGATACAGAGTGTGGTTGTTGTTCAAATGTCAGGAGGCAGAGTTCAGGAATGTGACAGCTGTGGGGAATAAGCTGTTCTGGTACCTGGTGGTTTTAGTCCGGAGGCTCCTGTAGTGCCTCCCAGAGGGCAGGAGGATGAAGAGTCTGTGTGCTGGGTGGCTGGAGTCTTTTATGATTTTCCCAGCCCTTTTTAGACACCGCTTCCTGCAGATGTCCTCTATGGCAGGAAGTGGTGCTCCGGTGATGTGTTGGGCAGCTTTTACCACTCTCTGCAGTGCCTTCCGGTCTGAGGCAGAGCAGCTCCCGTACCAGACTGTGATGCAGTTGGTCAGGATACTCTCAATGGTGCAGTGGTAAAAGTTCACCAGGATGTCTGAGGACAGGTGGTTCTTCCTCAGAGTCCTCAGAAAGAAAAGGTGCTGGTGAGCCTTCTTGACCAGCTTGGAATAGTCAGTCATCCAGGTGAGATCCTCGGAGATGTGGACACCCAGGAACTCGAAGCTGTTCACACGCTCCACCACTGTCCCCTTGATGAAGATGGGTGGATGTGGGCCAGCATTCCTCCTGAAGTTCACAATGAGCTCCTTAGTCTTCTCAGCATTGAGCAGCAGGTTGTTGGTGTCACACCACTCAGCCAGATGTCATTTGCAAACTGAATGATGGTATAGGAACCATCAACAGGTTTGCAGTCATGGATGAAGAAGGAGTAGAGGAAGGGACTCATCACACAGCCTTGTGGTACACTGGTGTTAATAGTGATGGTAGATGAGCAGTAGTTATCCAGCCAATCCAGGGGAAGTTCCCCTGGATTGGCAGACCGGGGTGGTGGTCCCCCTATTCAAAAAGGGGGACCGTAGAGTGTGTTCCAACTACAGGGGAATCACGCTCTTAAGCCTCCCTAGTAAGGTCCATTCGGGGGTTCTGGAGAGGAGGGTCCATCAGATAGTCGAACCTCGGATTCAGGAGGAGCAGTGCGGTTTTCGTCCTGGCCGTGGAACACTGGACCAGCTCTACACTCTCAGCAGGGTCCTGGAGGGTGCGTGGGAGTTTGCACAACCAGTCTACATGTGCTTTGTGGACTTGGAGAAGGCGTTCGACCGTGTCCCTCGGGGGGCCCTGTGGGGGGTACTCTGGGAGTATGGGGTACCGGGCCCTTTGATACGGGCTGTTAGGTCTCTGTATGACTGGTGTCAGAGTCTGGTCTGCATCGCCGGCAGTAAGTCGGGCTTGTTCCCGGTGAGAGTTGGACTCCGCCAAGGCTGCCCTTTGTCACCGATTCTGTTCATAACTTTTATGGACAGAATTTCTAGGCGCAGCCAAGGTGTTGAGGGGATCCGTTTTGGTGACCTTAGGATTGCGTCTCTGCTTGTTGCAGATGACGTGGTCTTATTGGCTTCATCAGATCGTGATCTACAGCTTTCGCTGGAGCGGTTCGCAGCCGAATGCAACGCGGCCGGGATGAAGATCAGTTCCTCCAAATCCGAGGCCATGGTCTTGAGCCGGAAAAGGGTAGAGTGCCCTCTCCGGGTCAGGGAGGAGGTCCTGCCCCAAGTGGAGGAGTTCAAGTATCTTGGGGTCTTGTTCACGAATGAGGGAAAAATGGAGCGTGAGATCGATAGGCGGATAGGTGCAGCGTCTGCAGTGAAGCGGGCGCTGTACAGGTCTGTTGTGGCAAAGAGAGAGCTGAGTCAAAAGGCGAAGCTCTCAATTTACCAATCGATCTACGTTCCCACCCTCATCTATGGTCACGAGCTTTGGGTTGTGACCGAAAGAATGAGATCTCGGATACAAGCGGCCAAAATGAGTTTTCTCCGCAGGGTGTCTGGGCTCTCCCTTAGAGACAGGGTGAGAAGCTCGATCATCCGGGAGGGACTCAGAGTAGAGCCGCTGCTTCTCCACGTCGAGAGGAGCCAGTTGAGGTGGCTTGGGCATCTGTTTAGGATGCCTTCTGGACGCCTCCCTGGTGAGGTGTTCCGGACACGTCCCACTGGAAGGAGGCCCAGAGGAAGACCCAGGACACGCTGGAGGGACTATGTTTCTCGGCTGGCCTGGGAACGCCTCGGGATTCCCCCGGAAGAGCTGGCCCAAGTGGCTGGGGAGAGGGAAGTCTGGGCCTCCCTACTTAGGCTGCTACCCCCGCGACCCGACCCCGGATAAGCGGAAGAAAATTGATGGATGGATGGATATGGTCAGAAATCACATTATCATATAGTTCCAGGTCGTTCACAGACAAGCCGTGAGAGAGAACCAGGTCCAACGTGTGTGTATGTTCATGTTTGGGACCAGCCACCCATTGAACCAGGTTAAATGAGTCAGTGAGGCTGAGAAAGTCCTTCACCAGTAGTTTCTCTGGGCAGCATACATGTATCTTAAAATCTCCAACAATAAGGACTCGATCACAGTTTATCATTATTCCAGTCAGGAAATCAGAAAAGTCATTCAAGAAATCCTTATTATATTTAGGGGTTCTTTAGATGACAGCGCACAGCACGGGGTGTGAGCGACCCACCTCAAATAAAGTCACCTCGAAGCTGGAGAATGAAGACAGTGCAGAGCATTGCTTGCATTTAAAGTTGTTCTTATAAACCACCGCCGTTCCTCCTCCACGGCCTGACATCCGAGGGGAGCTTAGATAAGAGCAGCCGTCTGGTAGAAGTTCAACAAAAACACTGGAGTCATCAGCCTCAACC